CTCACGTATACGAGATTCTTTTCATTTGCAAGCTGCACGGTATACGCCTTCTAATTCCTTGCCCAAAACGAGTCACTATTTGACAGGCCCAGAAGACCCCGCTAATAGTAAATGAAGGCATTCTATTTGTTGCACAAAAAAGCGAAATCCTCTCCATCGTCTACCTTTTTCGAAACTTATTTGCGCATGATTCTGTATCATTCACTCATTGTTATATGTAGGTACAACCTGGCGAGACTCTTGCTTTGGTCGGACCAAGCGGTTGCGGAAAGTCTACGGTTGTATCCCTTCTGGAACGATTATACGATCCTTTAGATGGTGTTGTGGTAAGTACTCTATTCACATATTAGTCTTTTTTCTGTGTCTCTGATCACCAATCTAGGCTGTGGACGGCAACGACCTTCGTGAAATGAATCCGACCCATCTGCGTTCTCACATTGCTTTGGTGTCACAGGAGCCAGTCCTGTTTGATACTTCCATCAGGAACAATATTGTTTACGGTCTTCCTGCTAACTCGGTTACGGATGATATGATTATGGAAGTGGCCCAGAGAGCTAATATTCACAAATTTATCAGCGAGCTGCCAGATGTCAGTCATTTACGCCATCAGAGTGGTACTCGGTAATATTCCACTTTTTCTAGGGTTTCAACACAAGGGTCGGCGAGAAGGGTACTCAGCTTTCGGGAGGCCAGAAACAACGGATTGCTATTGCTCGTGCACTCATCAGAAACCCTAAAATTCTTCTGCTTGATGAGGCTACAAGTGCGTTGGATACGGAAAGTGAAAAGGTAGATTCCCTCGAAAGCCCGTGCGATTACCAAAATCTCGGGGATTATTTGTGATTTCAGCTAGTCCAAGAAGCTTTGGACAAGGCATCCAAAGGTAGAACCTGCATCGTAGTTGCTCATCGACTGTCTACGGTCGTTAATTGCAATTGTATAATGGTCGTGAAGTCTGGAAAGATTGTCGAAAAAGGTACTTAAGCTTTTCGTAATTGTGTTAGAGTATTTTCAGCACATTTTCGCGAATGCATTGTAATATCTGATAGTATTATAGAAGCTTAGAAATGATAATATCAAAAATCAATCGACTAATCCAAGATTCTGTTCAGGTACC